AAGTTGTTCATCTCCATCTTGATCTTCTAAGGACCTCCCGCTCTTTGGAAATAGGCCTGTGGCTGCTGGTGCTTTCCAGCCATGGACCAGTTTTAACCCATGGATGTCATTGTATGAAAGGATGGGGAGCAAGACGGCTGCTTCCTCTTCCTTCCCAGTCCCTGCAGGAGGGAGACGTGAACTTGCCACCTTCTACTAGAAGGTCTCCAGGCATCCCTGAACCCCTGGACACCTACACAAGGACAAGCCAGGGCTCGTGCAGGAGGCACAGGCAGCAGGGGTGTTTTGTTTCTTGTGGCCGTGCTAATCACAAATGTGTCTGGGAACAGATTTGAAGGCAGCGGAGAGTGAAATCAGCAGCCTTAGCACAATCAGATAATTGAAATTATTTCTGCAAATAATGAAAGCGCAGGAAGCGGTAGCATGAGATGGTGCTGAAATGCCAAGCCAGCTCTCCCCATTGTTCTTCTTTGCAGATGAAGGTCGGAAGTCCAGGTTGAAAAATGACTCTACTCATATGTCTATCCTTGTTTTACATTATTTGCATTAAAAAAAAAGAGATTGTGCCTAATTCAAACCATGGTATCCTTTTGTTCCCAGTGAGATCTCGTAGCTGTAATAGGAGCAAATGACTCTGATAGTCACTATCCCTTCCAACAATCATTGCTCCAACTTCAGGAAACCACTTAAAATTTGTTCTGACTGCCAGGGCTCTTTCCAGATTTTGAAGGAGCCCAAATATTTGGTTTCGGTGCACTGAACTTTTTATTCCTGTGATAAGTGCTGCTGCATGGGATGTACAGCGATAAAGCCTGGGAAGGGAGAGAGATGGATGAAGCTAATCGTAATCTTGAAGAATGTCTCCATGGGAGCTGCAGTTGAAAAATCAATAGGCATAGCTTCCAGGCACCCAAAGGCAAGGTTATTCAAATAATTTGTTCCTAGTGGTATTTTTCAAAAATACGAGTCCAGTTCAGATTTAACCATTCTTTGGTCTTGTATCGCGTTAATAGGAGTAGATGTATTTTAATGAGATATATTATGCAGTTCACGCCAAAGCAGAGCAAGTCATTGCAGAATGACCGCCGGCAAGAGATGCGCGTTCAGTGGCAGTCATTTATCCCCGTGAAATAATTTGGTTTTGTGATGTTGGTGCTTCCTAGGTAGGGCCTTGTTTATTGACAAACTGCCTGCTCAGCTCAATAACGTTGGTGTCGCATCTAGATGGGAGCCTCAGCGAGGAGCTCTGTTATCTTGGGCAGCAGAAACGCAGAGGTTGTTGTTGCAAGCGATCCGCAACATGTGTTGAGCCAAATTCTGTCCTTGTGAGACATGGGGAACAGGGACTTTTCCGATGAGAACAGACAGCACCAATCTCTCTGTTTTGTTTACCTGACACTTGCTGTTAGAAGAAACCGTGTAAGTTGTTTTTTTTTTTTTTCTTGAGATACTTTCTGCTGTTATTTGCTGCAGAACGTCTAGCAAAAAAAAAAAAAAAATGTTTTGAGCAGACAAGTGTCTCCTTTTGGGCCAATAAAATTACTATTATGTTATAAACCCCTAAGGGAGAACTTGTACTTTCTGTCTTCTTCCTCCCAAAACATTGGCAGCAGTGCCGAAGTAATAGTTTGCCCAAATGTATTTGAAGGAGCCTGACTTCCAACTGGATGTGCTTTTGGGAATCCCCCCATTGAGTGACATGCTCCTCAGGTTGTATTTTTTTGCAATAAGTTTCCATTCTAAACTTCAAATGTGTTTAAAAAATGGTGTTAGACCTTCTGGATGTAAAGTCTGAATTTCAGTGCAATTTATTTCCTTAGGAATATTCAAGTTCCTTTGCGGCTGAAATTGAATTTGCTTTTACAAAATCCAATGTAATGTAAAGCCCAAACTTGGTGTTGCATATATATTCTGTTGATATTTTGGCTGGATTTCTCTGGCAGTGATATAATGAATATTAATTCCAACAAAAAATAGATAGAATTTGCTATCTTAAATGATATTATAATTTCTCGATTGTTCTTCTGAGTTTGAGTCATTATATTATGCAGCAAAATTATACAGCTACATAAAGCATAATACACCAGTGCTTTCTGATAAGCTGTCTCAAAATGAAATATTGATATTCTGTATTTGCATGTTCCATAACAAATTTAAAAGGTCCCATTTGTGCTTTCGAATCATTATAGACCGCCCACTCATATGTCCTGTAATATTCACCACAGCTTCACCTAGTGACAGGCATAAGAAATTACAGAGCAGGATCTGAAAGTTCAGTGATCTCAATAAAGAAATTAATTAAATAAAAGTCCATCAGTTAGTTCCATAATGAGTAAGAAAAGGAACTCTGTGCAGCAGTTTGGAAATAAGTGTTGTCTCTATTCCCTATTAAAAATTCTACTTTAAAATATTAAAATATTTAGTCTTTTCCAAGGTTATATCAAGGCTAAAAGGGAAAAAAGGAAAGGATATTCCTAAATTATTCTTGGTTGCTGTGGTTCAGCAAGTGCGCTGCTATGGCTTGTGCTATGCAGATTAGATAAAAAGGTGCTTTTCTGGCCTTCACTGTATTGCAGCTTAAATCTGAGCCAGTAAACGTATTTCCTGCATGAAACACTATGTCTTGGAAAACTGTTTTTATACAAAACAACCATTTTCCTGCAAAAGAGCTTATTTTGATCCCTTGCCACAGGTTATTATCAAATCTGTGCCAGCCTGGGGAGGACTGTGATAGGCAAGTGCAGAGATTACTAAGCAGTATGGTCCAAATCATCCAGTTGGTCAGAAATTGAGGGTCAGAATTTGTTGTTGTTGCTGTTAAAAAAATGTAACTCATCACGAAATGTTTTGCTTGAGGAACTGGGTTTGAGAACCTTCTGCTGAATCGAAGATGGAGTTTGGACTCCTTGGTGAACTGTCCCGGTGCCAAGAGCCGGTGCTGCCAGCAAGGAGAAGAGGAGGACAAATGCTCCCGAGTTTCCGTATCCCAGGGCTGCTGTCTGTGACCGCTCAGGGTGGTACAGATCAGCTCTGATCAGCTACGTTGTCAGGGAAAGAAATAAAACAAAATAAAATAGGGGCTAATTTGCTTTGGCCTGCCTTGCAAAACGCATTCCCAGGGCCGGCGGATGTGCCCTGCCATTGAGAGGGGATTTGCAGGCTGGCTGCTTCTGCAGCCAAGATGCTTTCTATGTTTTAATTTGTTTGCTCGGGTGTTTGATGTGTTGTTAGGGGTTATAGGACTGAAAAGCTTCCAAAAATCTTATCCAACCTCTCAAAATATCCCTTCAGAACAATATGCGTTTGGAAAGCAGACATCATCTGTAGATGAAGAATTTTTGGAGAAGAGCTTATAGAAAATTACTTAAAGCTAAACCAAGGTTACTGCTGGAAAATTGCTGCAAATGGCTTGTGCAGCAGCAAATACTGAGCCCAGAGGCCCGTGCCATGGGGCAGCCCATCAGCCCCTCAGGTCTGAGCAGAGCAACCCCATGGCACTTGGTGCCTTTACTCTTGACAGCTCAGTGAGGCAGAATGCATCTGAAAGGGGGAAAAGCTGCTCTGTGCATTAAAAAAAACACTTCAGAATAAGAAGGGGTTTTTTTTGTGTGTTTGATATTAGGCTTCTCTTTTCATAGTTTATGATATTGCGATTGGATTCCCTTTTGTGGACACAAACTTTGTAATAGTACTATTCATCACTGTGACAAAGGTTCGGCTTGGAGAAAACTTGAACTGAGCTGAAAGAAGAGAATTTTCATTATTTTAGCAGCTGAATGTGTCATTACATCAGAGTCAGTATTATGTAGCAAATTGCAAGCAGCAGTGAAATTGCTTTAAAATATATCTGTATATATTTTTCCAAAACTGTGATAAAGTCAGTCAGGAGTGCATTGAAATGCATCTCTAGCCAAACTGTTACAAGATTTCTTTTTTTTTTTAAATGCTGCTATAAGACAGATGGCAGTTATTTTTCTTAAGAGTCTGCAGCAAAGCTGATGCCTTCCTTTGCCATGTAAATGTTTTGAAGCAAAAGACAAGTAGACATGGCCAAAATGCCTCTGCATTGTAACATTGACTTGTGCTTTAGAAAGCAAACTTTTAATCAGCTTTCAACAGCATGCTGGTGATAATTACTTAATGTTGTACCAGGCAAGGTTCGTTATGATGGCAAAACGAGCTATTAATCAGAATCAATTGCACATATTTTGCAGTATGTTTTGGGAGCAGATGTCGTATTTGGAGGCATTCTTAATGCAATAAGTGAGTGGCCCATGGCCTCAGGGAGGCTGCAGTCACTCCTGTGGTGCAAGAGCATCTGGGGATTGGGAGATGCTCTCTGCCAGTTTATGGCATTCCTGGGGCGAATGTGACTGTTCCATGAGTCAAGTCGCTGCTGGAGCTGGTGCATAAAGAACATTACTGTGCACACAAGGACCAAGTTGCCTGCAGATTGGTACCTGCTGTTAACTCAAACTCCATTTTTGGATTTTTTTTTTTTAAGTGTTTGAAATGTCTTAGTGTTTTCTGGAAGCCAGGAGTGTCTCGGTTACTACAACTTTTGACTGATTTAATAGTCTTGTAGAGGATACCTGAGCCTAAGTTGCAAGGCGGTTCCTCTGCTGACATGAACATTGCAACTTGAAGAAGGCCAGGTGAAAGTCTCCTTAAATGCAGCCTGGATTTACCATTTTCTCCTCTTCACCAGGAGTACTGTGCAGTTTAATAAATGGCTATATTTAAAAGTGAAATCGTTTCTAGTTATAAATCAAAGTGAATCTGCCAAGTAACGTTAATTTAGTACCGCACACCCATTTATAACTCTTAGATTGTCAGCTGTAATGTGCCACTTTATGGAAGCATCTTTAGAAGCTATATTTAATGCACTTGCTCGAAATTCATACGCTCTTAAAAATCAAGCGTTGCTTTGTTTGCAGGAATTTTCCTCGCGCTGTTTTTTGTGAGCACCTTGCCCCAAACCGCTGTCCTTTCCTTTGCAGCCTCCGGCAAAAGAAGGGGAATGTGGCTCCGAAGCCGTGGGCTGGCGCAGCAAACCTGGCGAGGTGCAAGCCGTGCCCCGGCACACACGCCAGTGCCGTCTGCGGGTCGGATGGACACACGTACACCAGCAAGGTACTGCTGCCCCGGCGGGGAGCTGGGCACTGATGGGATGAGGGGGTGGCTTCAGCAACCGGACAGCATTAAATGGCACACGACCTTTAATTCTTGCCATAGTCCCGTTTTAAAACGCCCTGATACATTTACGTTTTACATATTCGACAAAAAGAAGGGCAAATCAGAACGGGAAATGGCTGTTTTATGACTTTCTTGATGAATGCTTCTCTAAATAGCTCTTTCTCGCTAATGAACTAGAACATTTTCAATATTGATGATGCAACAGGAATCTGTTTCATTGAACTGGCTTGTTTGGACCCTGCTTGTCAAAGAAGGGTCTGAGCTAGTTCTTGTTTTTATATTTAGCCTCCAAATAGATAATTTGGCAGTAGCGTCATTCTGTGACTGATTTCCAGGCTGCACGGCTAACATATCACAATTCATTTAAGTCGCATTTTTAATACTTGCTCATACCAGATGCAGCACATATGATACCATGAAAAATCCCCAGTGGAGGTAAATTGGCTCATTGTTACACTGAAAATATGATCATCTTTAGGGTTTGATTCAGTAAGGGAAACTGGTTCCAGAGCCACGTTTAATTCAGCAGGCCAGATCTTGCGTTATGAAATAAAGTCTTCCATGACTCAAATACCATTTGAGCCGTTCCACAAATGGGGCTTCAGGCCCTGGAGGTCATGGTTGTGGGATGCCCCTAATGTCTCTTTCTACATCGAGACTAAGGCTTGCCCACTAGTAAAAAAAAACCCATAAGAGACAAAATAGACCCAAAAAAGGCAACAAGAAAAATGATAATGAGGAAAAAAGCTCTCACTGTAGCATAGCATAACACCGTTGGTGATGCGGCAGCTACTTCTTAGCTGGTCAGGTCAAGTATTTCATCCATTAACAGATACAGGTTACTTTTCCTCTGAACCCTTGAGAGTATAGATTTTTAGTCTGTAATAAGCAGCTTTTGATGAATATTCAGTCACACTGTTGCACTTTTTCTTCTACATCTTACTTTCGTCATTCACTGAGAGCACTGAATGAATGCTTTTCTCTTTGTAATTTTTTACCATTCTGGGATCCAAATATTTTTTAATCTCAGATTCCACCAATGACAACTTTTAGTAAATGAAATACAAACATTTAAGCAGTTTACTTAAATGTCCTAATAATTACCATTTTTACTGATGGTTTTCTGATGTCTTTATGAGCAGATCTCAGCTGCCTTCCTCAAATTCACTAGTTCTCACAAGAGAATGGTATCCTCCTTGCTTCCCCAAATCCATCTGATCCTGGGGTCACTAAAATCACTGCTTTTTTTTGGTAATTTTCCTTCAGATGCAATGCAGGTGGCAAGTCTTGTGTCGGGCACTGCCGTGCTGACTGATACTTGCTCAGACTGTGCAAATTCACAGAGGAAAAGTCCTTAAAAAGAATTATTTATTGGCCATATTCTCCTACAGGCAGAAGATGCAGATTGTGCAAGGTAAATATTTGTGTTTATGCTATATCTATACACCAGAGTCATGGCTCAGTTAGAGTTTGCCTTTTCTTGCCACCGGGCTTAGGCAAGAAATGTGTTTTGGCCACCTCTCTTGTGGCCTGTCGGAGCAACATCAAAGCATCTCCTCGGTGGCTGGGGGCTACTATTGAGCACTAGGGATCTGCACTGGGAATTGCCGTTTCCTTCCTTTGAACTGGGGTGACAATGAATGAAAAGGAAATGATACTGCAGAAGTATGTGATGGAGTGATAAAATGCAGATGAAATTCAGGTGTCGAAAAAATGCAAAATAACTCAAATAAGGAGAAAGTAACCGTAAATGTACCTAGAGCATAACAGGCTCTTGTTTAGCCCCTTAGTCTAGAATCCTGCTGGCTCTTTGCCTGAGGATATCAGTGTAGTGATCACCACCAGGCAAAAATGCAAATACTGAAATAGAAGAAGGATTGAGAGCAAGCCTAGAGCGTTAGCACGTTGCTTTGTAAATGCCAAGACATTTCAGTTGCCATCGCTGCATCTCGGAGAGGAGGTGATAGAACTAGGAAGGACGTAGAGGGGACAGCAGCGACCATCTGAGGCTGGGAATCTGCAAGGAAGCACGAAAAACAAGAGCCACTATTCAGCAGGGTTTTATATGAAATCACAACTAATACAGAAAGGGAATGCTGTGCTCCATGGCACAAGATCTAATGAAATTATGAGTTGCTAGTTTTAAAAGAAAGGAAGCATTTATTGTTTCTTTTTGGTTCAGAATAAAATCGTGAAATTTGCCCCAGCAAAGTACTGTGCAGGCCAACGATATGGATGGGATTAGATAAATCCATGGAGAATGGATCAGCTGTAGGCAGGTAAAGCTCTAGCTATAGCTCAGTGAGTCTCTAAGCCGGTGGATGCCAGAAGCCAGGATGACTGATATATTTGGGGAGAACTGGTTTGTTCTATTTCTGATATGCTCTATTTATTTTATTCCTTTATAATTTGTTTTTTATATACTCTTTTAAGCAGCCACAGCTTGGCAGGGCACTAGGCTGAACTGGTGGGTTCTGGCATAGGTAAAAGTGGTGGCATCGTGGGTTTAGATATGGCAAAACAAAAATGAAATTATCATACTTATCTTCATTTAAGTATTGCTATTTAAGAAAGGAGTTAGTTCATTCTCCATTTCAACTTTGGATTGGGTTGCAATTCCTTTTTAGATAGGTCCTGAGCATACCTTATATCACTGCTTTGCATTTTTAGTTCCTATTGTTGTAAAGTTTAATTTCAGCCCTAAAAGCAAAATTAATGCTGCAAAACTTGATCTGAAGCCTCACAGCCTTGGACAGTGCTTGATATGACTTACGGAAGGTGGAAGGCTTTTTGTTAGATTTGTTGTCTTTTCATGAAAAATTCAAGAAACCATTACTGATTCAGTTCCAATAAAGTAACTTAAAATGTGTTTTAATTGTTATTCTTTATATGATGTGTTCTTGAATGTCATTCTTGAATGGATAATAAAATATTCCATTCACACAGGCTGTATAGCAAGATAGCAAAAGCATTATCATCTTACAGTGTAGCATTGCTTGATAATCCTCAGAACTTCACATTCATCGTTTTGCTTTCTGTGGAGAGCATGTTTTGAAGGAAAACACTTTGCTTATGTTAATTATAGTGCTGGGAACTCACTGTGCCTATTCAGGTTGATTAGGAGAGATTAGGTTCTCAAAAGGATGCTCTTTGCAGAGCAGCAGTAGAGAGGTTGATGGTCCCCCAACAACTATGGGACCACAGGGCATGTTCTGGTGCACAGTCTGCTGGAATTTGATATGTGGATAAAAGAGTGAATCAGAGTCATGGATTGTAGCTCAGATTAATGTCAGGTCCAAACATCCTCAGGTACCAGCATGGCTGGTTCTCTTCCAGTTTTCCTAGTGAATGGCTTTTTGTTAACACGGTCATACTTCCAAAAATCCATGAAAAATTCATCATTAGACCAGAATTTCTTCCAATAATAGAAGTGATTCACCCCAAAACACTTTATTCAGCTCACTGCTTGCTTCAGATACCTTGAACTTGTTCTCTGACTTGCTCCATGAATACATAAACCTTCAGTCTCTTCACTAAGTTGTTGAGGGCTGGTCAAAGGAAAAAAATAAAGTATATATGTGTTTCTTTCTCTCTCTCTCTAACCTGATTTTCACTCAATGTAGTTACAGCTTGAAATGCAGGAGTCCTCAAATATGCACCTTCTCCCTTCCCTCTTAAGCTTGTAAAGAGATTTCTGTTTCCTGAACATGAATAGGTCTGTTTAATACTCTTAACAACACAAAACATTTCCATAGCAGAGTGCAGGCAGAGTTTGCAAAGCTCCTTAAAGTACTAATGAATTAAGCTTGTGGTGTAAGTAAGCCCTGCAAAGAGCTCTATGTAATTAGTTAATGTTTTTGTCAGCAACACATTAAGAATAACTGTGTAGCTGTCAGTTTTACAGGAAGTTTAATTAAGCTAGTTAATAAAGCAATTACCTGAACATGACGATGACTGCACTTAACTAATCAGAAAATGAAAATAAGGATGATCTTAAATTACAAAACATACCACCTCAATGACTAATAGTCCCTTCAAAGATTGAAAAGTACATTGGTATAATTATTATGCTTGTAATTAGGTACATTGTTGTTCTGCAAATTTTAATTAAATCATTGCAAACTAATTAAGCCCATGATCATGTCTCTCTTTGTTTGAAAATGGAAAAATTGCCTCCTGTTGTCATAACATTAGGTAGCAAATTTGATATTAAGGGATGTACAAAAGAAATAATGTTCCAAGAATCTTGAAACTAGAGGGAAAATGACTGAAACAACCAGACACTGTTAGTTAAATTTGTGCATCATGAGGGGTGATGCATTTAATTAGGAAGACTCGGTATTTGGATGTGCTGTTAGATGTTTATAAAGTCTCCAAATGTTGTGTATTCAGTGCAGCGTTTTTTTTTTCCTAATCCATTCTGTCTTCTCAAGGTGGGATGCAGCTGTGGTTCTGCACAGATTTCTCTGGTTTGGATAAGTGATGACTCAGCCTTTCTGAAGACACAGCTAATGCCCTCCCTGGTGGTAAATGAGCTCCTCAGCAGAGCTTTAGCAACTGTTAAGAGCAGAAGTCCTCAGTTAGGTGAGGAGTTGGGTGAAGTTGCTTGCTAAGTTTTTGGATTGAGTTTTATAAGGAAAATTGTAGAAGGATAAATAAAAGGATGATCAAGAAAAGGTAGGAAACAGTTGAAGAACACTATGAAATTAAGCATAAAGCAGCTAGGGTTATGCCTTTACTCCCTGTATGTTGCTTTGAGATGGGAAAGCTTCTTTGGGGGAGGCATAAGAGTGACTCTCCTCTTCTTCTTTGTTGTATTTCTTTTACTTTATTGATTTAATTCTTTGCTGTAACTTGAGAGTCAAGATTTTGGAGCCATCAGTCAGTTGTGCTGATGTTACATGGCGTGGTACATGGCAAATCTGGTCTCTTGCCCA